AATTCATCAAAAATCAAAAAATAAAAGTACAACATTCGCTCATTCGTTTCATTGAACATTTCAAATTTGATTATTCGATTTATTTTTAATGAATACAAAGTATATCCTTAAGTCTAATAAAAAAAAGATACATGAAGAAGTTTTCAGTAATTCAAAATATCTACATTCTTCTTTACAGACATCTTGTATGAGCTTTTAGTTTAATATCACAATATTGTGTCTATGATAAAAGTTTATATAAAACAAAGTTATTTTTTATAAGTACTAGTATACAGGGGACTAATATCATGATAAAACTGACGTATCAATGATATTCCATAATAACTAAGAATAAATTATTAACAACATATTCCATACTTTCTTTGTTGACATAGAAGGTTAAAATATTTATCAAATACAATCAATACAAAAATTATTCGACAAGATTTATTTTCAATCTTTTGTGCTATTGTCAACGTCAGAAAGAAATCAAATAGTGATTTGATTATAAAATATTGTTTCCAAAATGAATGTAAGGAAAACAAAATTATTATCAGTTTCCTAAAGAGCAAAGCTCTATAAAAGCACAAAGCTAACTTTTCGACACCTAGAACTGGTAAATATAATTTTATTTAAGCTGCATAGAATGACAGAGTAAATCATCCTCTAAAAAATGAAATGTCTCAGAGTTCTCTGTGAAGTTTTTCTATCTGAGACACAGCAATATTAGGGAAGCTCCTACAGTGTTAGAAAATCTGTCTTCCGGTTTTCTAAAGTCGCTATCTTTGCGAATCTGCTAATCATTTTCATTTTTTTTATATTCTTGTTCAAAACGATTTTCTATATTTAAATTCTTTCTAATGCTTAAGACAGCGTAAAAATTTTAAAATAAAACTTGTTGAATAAAATTGGTCATCATTGTATAGGTGATCAAAACTTCAGCCTTCCACACAGGGCTGACAAGTGTACCCGATTCGATTATTTTGCATCCCGAAAAAAACTGTGCTACTGACATACACTTTTTTAACCCCATTTTGAATTTTTGACCGTTTTGTGCAACACGATCTGAAAGGAGTGTTAAACTGTTTAGGGTAGAGATTTTGGATCCACTCCCCCCTCCTCACAGACCGTTACGGACAGGTTTTAGAGGCATAACAGACCGTGAGAGATAGCCCTAAAATCCATCAAAGAGTAGGATACGCGTTTTTGAAAAAGGTTAAAAATCTTATATCGATAGACTATCATTACAACATGTGTACTGTCTGCTTACTGCAGTTCTAAAGCACTAAATACAGGGTTGGAAAGAAAGATATCCTGAAAATACAGGAAATAAACTATTTCTATTTATTTATCAACAATAGATTAATCATGTTTCACGTTTTTAATTGCGCAGAGATTGTGCTAACAGGTTTTCTACCATGAAGAAGTTTTTAATTGAAATGAGCTACAATTTTCAATCGAATTTATGACATCACAGTAAAGACATTCATACTGAGCAATATTAGTGAAATTTAACCCAAGTTTATTGGCATTTATTTCGTTCATTCCGTTGTGTCTTAACCTTTTTATTTTTTGTTCAAAATGAAGCCCAAGATGACTTTTAGTTTTTCTTGGTATTGGCTAATTTTCGTGTTACATTTGACTAGACATAACATTTATAAAATTCATTCAGAGTTGAGTTTTTCCTGAGTAGATGATAGAAGTGTGATTGTAGTCTACAATTTCATACTTCACTGTCTCATCTGCTGCTCCCATATATCCGTAGGCTCTCATCTTTTCTCGTGACAAAATTACAAGATGTTGTGATGAAATAGCAATATTTATTTCTTATGTGTATTCAATAGCTTGTTCTAATACATTTACAAGTGTTTTGTTCATAGGAAGCTTTCAGAGATACATCGTAGAGATTCAACGTTTAGTGAAACTATACTTGCTGAATTAAAAACAAGATTGAACTATAAGATGAATTGAAATGATCTTTTGACATTTGTTCAACGTGAACCTGAACTAATCAAATACAGTCGGAGTCAACAAAAGTATGATTGCATTGAAAAAAAACTTATTCTAGCTGATTTTAATAGTAAACATAGCTTTATTGGATATTCTATATTGTTTTGTAGATGATAGTTGTTTTTAACTTATGATTTAATCGTGATAGTATCATATTGACAGTGTTTTTTCTTTGAAAAATAAACAACAAAGACGAAATATAGTAGGAAAATAGAATATGATATTTTTTCTGAGAAAAGAGATTTCTTATAGCAGTTTTTTCGGAACCAATCTTTGTCTTAGAGCAAAAACTGTACTTCAAATACATTTCCTTTGATATCTAGTTTACTACATTTGAAAATTCGAACTTGGTAGCCCTGCTTCCATAACAAAAAGAAGTATGAAAAATATAGTTAACAACTCATCGTCACTTGTTATGGAATACCCTTTCAATCGATCATGAAATGCTTTTTCTTAACTTTACTATCAAATAAATTCTATAACATAATCTCTTTATATCAAAAAATGTCCTTTTATGACGACATAGGATATGATGGAGAAACATTAAAAGGAAAATAAAACATATGGTAATCGCAAGATTATTAAATCTAATGCAATAAATCTAATGTAGTATAATAATAACACAAGATAAATATATTATCAGTCGTCATATAGTAATCATAATTTATATCTTTTTTTCTTTTGATAGAACATTGTTATGAGACAAGTTTAGAAATGCTGACATTTTTTTTCTGCACCAAAATCGAACAAAAACAATAAACAGCTTTCTCTACAAAAAAAAGACATTTTTCTTTTTGTATAACTAACATAACGACGAAGTATTATGTTTATTAATATGAATAGTATCCTTAATATAGATAATGTTTAATAAGAATACAAAATTGTGGCTAAAAAAATCAAAAGATAAGCCATTTATGTTAGTATATATGATTGTGCAGTTCAAGTCATGTAGTACAATGTGTTTTAAGTAATATAATATATTTGTGTAAAATACTGACATATGGTTACTGTATTGATTTAGATGACAAAAGCAATGAACAATAATGCTAAAGACTTTCATCAAGACAACGTCTATTAAAAAAAGAATAAAACATTTGATTGTAGGTTTGTTTACTCAATTCATGTCTGAAGATGATGTTTGTCATACAGACGTCGAATTACTGTGAAAATGAAATTCATCTTTTCATTTCTTAGTTGCAATTCTGTATTCTTGAGTGTAATGCTGTTGTTCAAAATTTCCCATTTATCCGAAACCAGTGCCACAAACTCTAATTCAATTCAACAATAAATTTCAATCAATGGTTGAAGTTTCAGACAGTCACATATCTTATAAATCTCGAGTTTAACTCCAATCAAAAAGTAAATTGATTATAGTCCATTGTCTTCTTATGACTATTGATTATGGGGAAGAATGACTAGCGTCCATTTCAAAATATAATGTTCTTCACTGTTTTTCGAATAACTATTGATAGGAACATCGTAAAGTTCTCCAATTTTTTCTATTCAACAGAGAACGCTCAGATCAATCGAGGTAGATAGAAGTAATTGATCATGCTGAATCGAATACTAATATTTGATTTTAGATTCGAAATGATTGGCCGTTACTATGTCAATACTTCTGGTAGTGGCGTAACTAGGATTTTGGCGATGGTAGAACTTAGCGTCGCTTAAATGTCTGGTGATTGGGCTCAGGCGAATGAGGTCTGTGGGGTGGTAGGGCTGATAAGAGAATTTAGCTGACGAAGTTGACGTCGGTGGTTGGGCTTGAACACGGAGCTCAACCTAGCTCTACCCTGGTGACGCCACTAACTTCCGGACTAATACAATTAGGCTTCATGTAACGAAAGGATTGATATGTTGGAAATATTCAGACAACAGTGCTAGATCAGCTCGAACCTAAAACCAAATATCACCCACACCATCCATAGCATGGTGAATTACGCCTATCTAGCTCCTTTTTCAGTTGACCATTAGTCAATAGGTTGAAATCAGAGATCTCAGGAAAAGTCTTATGACTCTCAGACGAAACAAGCAAGGGGTATCGACTTCACGTAGAGCGAAGGAACGAAAATCTTTCTATCAAAAAGTTCTATTAAAGGTCTAAATGAAGAGGAAAATAGCTTCAGAATATTATTTTCAAAAATCTACGCGAAGAACTTGCCTGATTGTTCAATGGCTGTCCAATCAAATTTTAACATACTTCAAAGTGGAACACATGATATTTTGAAAGGTATAGGAGACTTTTTCCTTTTGTTCAAAGTTCCTTACTTTTACTTTTTCCAAGAGAATCTAACGAAAGTCATATTTGAAAAGAACCAATCCTTATTTGTATCTTGTCAATTTAATGCTACGATACATAATGAACTGTCTGATAAAATCTCAAAGCATAATTTGGAAAAATATATTTATCAAAATTAGCAAAGAAATATACTGAACGATAATTAAAACGGATTTCAAAAATCTATAAGATACAAAGAAGTAACAATTATATGAGATCCTACATAACAGGATGATTCAAGCAAAATGGAATACAACTGAACCATCACTTTGACTTATCCAAAAACCTGCGTCTCAATCATCATGTGTGCAATAATGAGCACTAGCAAAACTAATCTTGCAAGTTTTGGAAATAGGACTCGGATAAAAAGCTATAATGATTGAGCAGAATGACGATCAAATAAAAAGTTCAGTGGAAGAACATTTTTGAGATTTTTCAACAAATGTTTTCTAAGACTATTCTATTATTTTCGTATTTTTTTTTTTATATTCCTTATTGAGCTTTTGATCTTCAATCAATGTTGCAAATGTAAAAGATCATCTCTTTAAATGAATTTTTTATTCCTCTTTTGAAGATCTGATTGATAATGCATTTCACATAGATCATCGTTGCTGATGCTGTTCTTATTTTCATGATAAATTCTGCAACTTTTTACGACATTACATATACGATGAGAAAGAAAAAAAGAGAAAAATATATAAACGAAAATGATTGTTATTTTTTATAGTAATTTTTATCGTTCAAGCATTGTTGTTAATCCACTTGTACAATTACGTTCTATTCGTTTCGTTCGGCATTTAAGCATTCTAAATACATAGGCACGTAAACTTCTATTCATAAAACAGTAAATAATGGGATTTAATGCATGTGTACACAAATATAAATAATAAATCATTAAAGGACTCTTTATATAACGTTCAGCATTTAATATTGATGGTAAATAAAAAACAACAAATGAAACAGTAATTAATAAAAATGTTGATGCCATACGTATTTGTTTTAGGCGATGTCGATAAAGTTGTTTTTTTAAAATAGCACTATTGGATATTAATGGTTGTTGAGGATGAGCATTTGGTAATGCTGGTGGTAATATTGTTGATGTCTCATCTTCATTTGAACTCAATATTGATAATTGGTGATCATTTGATATTGAAGATTTTCTTATACAACAACAACAACAACAAAATAACCATTGATGTATATCAAATGTTGGCTGAATAAAATGAAATTTAATTAATAAATGTCGTGTTGATGAACATGGACATGGAAGTTTATAATATGTTTCGGTATTTTGATTTAAATCAGTATCAAATGAATTTGTCATAAAAGATAATTGTTGTTTATCATCATTCGTTGTTACATTATCATTCTGTTCAACTTGAAATGAAACTTGTTTAATATTTGAAAGTTTCTCTGTTGATGCTTGTAAATCATCTGATGCTGTTTCTGATATACTTATTTGAAAATCATTTTTTGGTTCATTGGAAATATTTTGATCATTAAATTCATCATTACTAATAAAAGTTGACATAGCATATTGTTGATTGTCGTGTGTTGGTACATTTTTTAATTCGATGTTTGATGATTTATTTTGAATTGATGTGTATATTCCAGAATATGATGATATTATTGAGTCATTACGTAGTTGTTCTTGATGATTACTTATTTGACGATCATTTAATGTATTCGAGTTAAATTTATTTAATACATTTAAACTCTTTTTTAATGCACGTATACGAGGATTTTGTCGTTGTAAAGCAAGTACAAACGTTATTGTGTAAAGTATTGTAACAATTCCAATTGAAATAAAAAAAAACTTATTTGAAGTATGTCGTAAAATTTCTCGTGTTGTTTCAGATATAATTGATGTATCAGCAAAACATCTTCCATTTGTAGATATATATGATAAACTAACATTTGTTATATTGGCATCAACAGATATAGGTACTTGTTCATGTATGGTGTTAATTAGATCATGCATTAGTACGTCTTTTTGTGTAAATTCTATTGATATTTTTTGAGAATCAGCTTTTAATAAATGTGGTTCATTCGGTAAAATTACAGTATAATTAGCAAGATAAAATTCTCTGTATGGTAACGAGGAAAATGCTAAAGCTGTTAATATACCTAATCCAATGCCAACTGAAATGAATAATGTTAATAAACACTAGAAAAGAAAATAAAGGATATAATTATTATATATTTTGTTGATTATATATTTATTTAAAAACTATTTAATATAATAATTTGATAATTTATATTGTAAAAGTCTTACCACAAAATCTTTACTCATTGTTCTACCACTTAAAACTAGCGCTAGTTACAGTTAGAAGCAATTATTTTATTCAGATTTTTTCGCAGTTTCTAAATATGTGTTAAAAATATCCTTCTAGAATAAAATTAGAGAAGTATTGCCGGATTGCTTTGAAAGGTCTGGAATAGTACTTGTACAGAATACTATTTAAGATAGAAACTAGCTCTTTAATTTTTTTCTATGATGTTAAGCATCTAGCTTAAATCCAGATTGTGATTTCAATAACCAAGTAGAGTTTTCTCTCTAATGCATTGTATACCAGAAGAACTATGACGGCAAGATTTCTAAAAACTTGGATACAGTAGTATTTTAGGTTTCGGAAACTATTTTTTAACAATGTCATTTTTGAAGAGCAAAAAATGAGAGAGATGGCCATATTTGCTACAGTCTTCTCTGAAATGATTAAAAATATCACAAAATTTTTCAGAAATCGACTAAACAACTTCGCTTTTGGTTTTTCTAATTCTTTTAATTTTTTAACGGCAGAGTGTAGAAAATGTAGCAGTCTTTCAATTTATGTTCTTCATAATAGTATCGTTAAAAAACAGCTTCTACAACCTAAAAAAAAATACTATGTTCAGTTTTTTTAGAAACTTTACTGTCATAGTTGATATAGAACAGAATACATTATATAGACAACTGCATTGGCTATGGAAATCACAATCTGGATTTGAGTTAGATACTTCACATTATAGAAAAACCATGTGATTGTTAAATTTTTTACCACCATCTTATATTCTGAAATAGTAAAAAATTCTGATTCTAATTAACTGCTTTTGATTCCAATCAGTTGGTTTTTTTAGCGTCCACAAAGATTAGTGATTATTTTATGGTAAGACTTCGGCGTTATAGATCAGATATGAAATTGATATCGACACAGATCTCAAGTCGGTGTATCTTATTGAATTCTTCGCTCTTAATATCTCCTAGAATATGTGGGATGAAACTTTGTTGAACGTTAATTATGCCAAATATCACTATTGACAAGCTAGAAAAAGAGTATCAATAATGTTTATACAATACTAATTTTATTACTTCTATTGACTTTTGATGAAGAAGCAGATAAGAAAAGATATGCTTCAACTGGAAACCGAACGCATGATTGATGATTAGTTATTCGGATCAGTGCTCTAAACATTGAACTATTGAAGTACGACGAACATATAGTTTTTCTTTTTGAATGATATTTTAATCATCGAAAGTATTTTTACGTCGACATCACGTATACGATCTACTTGAATAATAGCGAAGCTACATATAATCAAGTATAGATTAGGATGACTTTTCTCCTCTTTCAAGAGTGAATATAAGTATTCAAAAGACGGAAAAGGCGTATATGTTATATTTATACAACAGTGATTTTTACGGCCTTTGACTTCTAATGATTAAATCTCATTCACAAAGAAAAGCTATATGTGTTCATCGTGCTTCGATAGATCAAGGGCTAGAGCACTGATCTGAATAACCAGTCATCAGTCATGGATTCGATTTCCAATTGAAGCATATCTTTTCTTATATTTTTGCTCATCAAAAGTCAAAAGATGTACTAAAATTAGTATTGTATAAACATTATATGAAACAATACTGTCCATAAATAGAATAGTAAGGCAAGTCGCCACTTCAATCGCGATATGAGTTTCAAACTAGCTTGTTTATTCATAAAATCAACTAGCAGAAATTGTATCTCAATGATGAACAATAATGTTCCTATATGGAGTAATATATTATATTAAGAACAAATAATTGATTTACTTTTCATCGATGTTAATCGGTCTGAAATATTTGAATAATAAACATCTGATAGGTATCTTAAACTAGAATCCTAAGAAATTGAAAATTTTAAAATAAATATTTTAAATCTCTTATGAAAATATGGCTCTTTTAATTTAGTAATATTTATTAAAAGAAGAAACTATTCGATCGATATAAACTTGTAAGTGCAAAAGATTGCACGATAATTATCAGCTCGTGATGACCCTTACAAAATAAAATCTAATCCGTATATCCGTTCTTCTATGAAAGCATCCTTTAAAATTTGATTACAAATCATAATGAATAATAGCATTCCAAAGATATTGTGTTCTTCAGATGATTTCATGCTAGACATATTTTATTAATTCTTTAAAGTCTTTTTCTATTTCAAGAAAACGGATTAAGTTAGATTTACATTGTATGTCAAATATAGTTCTTTGATGATTAAAATATTCAATCATCGAAAAAATAAAATAATTTCGTATTCCTACGACAATCATATTATTTAGGAAAATCATATACTAATGACAATAGATATATACAATAGAACGAATTATCATGTAAAACAAAACTTCCATACTGTTTTCAGACAATAATCGATAGTAAAGACAAAAATTTCTACATATTCTTAATCAGATATTTGAACCTTGATAATAATCGACGTTTGAGTGAGATTACAATACTCAGTACATTTGGGTCAAATAATTTTTCGGAAACATAATAGATATGTCTGCATATACATTAAGTGCGTGCTTATAATAATTTACTATAAAACAAAAACATTCATATGGAAAGTAATTATAAAATATTGGAAAGACAGCTGATAGTGATGAAAATAAGCAGATGTTTGATAGATTTTTCTTTATGAATATTCTTATGACTAATATGACTCTTTTTTCCGTTTTAGACGGAGTCTTCTCAATACATAAGGTTAAAAAACAAGCTATTGACCTATCGTAGATGACATGTTCAATTCTAAGATACTATTCACATTATAATTCATATCATTCATTGCATTTTATCCTTTATCTCATCTTAACATTGAACAAAAGGTAAAATGTATTTGTAGCATAGTTGGTTTAGGATACAAAATTATCTATCATAAAAAAGTTGTATAGAAAAATTTCTACTATGAAATTTAATCGTTCTATAAATTTTATTTCAAGATGCACTTGAAATGAAGAAATATGTTGAAAAAATTTAATAAATAATAATAGAGAATAAAAGAATCGTGATCAATGTTAAGAGAAAAAAAAAAACAACTGCATTTTTTTGTCATGTTCTAAAAATATTTATTAAATAAATAACCTTTGCGTCAGTAGTCAAAGCAATTATTGTATATCCTAGCCATGTTAATTTTCAATTACGTGCTTAAAAGACATTTATAATTAAGAAATATAAAACAGTTATTTAATTTACCCTGAAAGCTATACTCATAAAAATAGTTCAAGCAAACAAAAACCTTGTGCCATAGTCTGACATGACTTCCTTTTAACAAGAAATTCAGAAATAAGTTACTTGGGCGACTGCTTTCATTCAGAAAAGAATGAGTAAATGAATCAGTTAAGAAAAATAGATGAAATCAATCATAACAATCGAGAATGAAAAATAAATCAGTATATGTGCTGGAATTATCCAAAGGTGCACGATTACTGTAACCTATGAGCTGATCATCTGTATACATAAACTTAATAAGTAACACAAGGTTAACAACTCATAGTTATTTAAAAAAAAAATTCAATTCACGACGTGAAATAATATAGAAAAAAACTCAACTATTCCGCTCAAAAGCACTGCAATGCGAATTCATATCGATGAACTATTGTTAATCTCTAGGACAAGAGATTTAAGGCCTAGACAGATTATTATAAAGTCTGTAATTTTCTCTTCGAGATTTATACTATATACTTGAGTAAGACATACTATCATAAGCAAAGAATCTTGCAAATTAAACATGTTTCGACTAAGTATAATGAGGACGTAAAATTATGTTTTTTAAATTTTTTTAATTTGAAATAATTTTAAAATATCGTTATTTAAAAGAAAAAAAGGACTATTAGAATATATCATGCAAAAGAAAGTTTTTTTCAACTCCGGTCTACACCAAATAATAACGATGAAGAAATTGGATTCTTAAAAAGAGCAAGCTTGTTCATATGCATGACTGTTATAATTATCGAATATAATAATAGAGATGCTAACAGTGAAGACTTTAATTAAGAAAAAGTGGAACAAGATAGCTCTTTTTAGTCTCACACAATGATAAAAACATCTTTGGATACTTACTTTAACACGACAAGGATTGAGTACTCGATGATGTGGAGCAACAATATTTAAAAATCTATCCAATGCAATAAATGACATAATTAATGATGAAATAATGATGAGAATTTTTGAAAATGAATAAAATCGACAGAGCGGTGTTGGGACTTCAAATTCACGATATTCCATTATACCAATAGTTGGTACGACAATAAGACATGTCCATAAATCAACACAAGCAAGAATAAGTATAAAGATAACTGATGTTGATTTTGATGAATTCCAACGGTTTCCATAAGCTAATAAGATTATTCCGTTGCCAAGTGTGCCTATCAGTGACACAAGAGCAAAATAAATCATAAGACCAATATTTGTCAATGTAAACATTGTTAGAATTTTTATTTAAAAACACATCTAAAACATTATTAAAGCGATGTGCTTTTCTCTAAGTCGCATTTAATAGTATTGTGGATATATTTTTAGCCTTTTTTTTCTTTCCTTTTTTCTCTTGTTTTTCTCTAGAAAAATAACTAGCGAACAACGTTTTTTTTTTGTCTAGATGAATGAAAAAGATCGTCATTTGAGCATATGAAGTCATTGATAAGAGTAACAAGACGATGAATAAAAAAAGCTATTAGTACAATGAATTTTCTATTTTAATTGACTAATTAATATTGAGTTGTTATATACAAAGTTATTTACTTGAAACCAAAAAAAATGACTAACACCTGCCTGAATACAAATTTTATTTTTATTATACCTCTTTTTTTCTTCTAATTTTTATAAAAGTTCAGATTTATAACACATGTATTTAGTCGAATTAATAAAATGCTTGCAATCAAAATAACATGCTCAATTTTTATTCGCACACTATTTAATCACTAATTATCAAACAAAATACAAAAAAAAAAGTATTTTAGTAAAGTAGTAGTCACACGCATGTAAGAAGCCAATTGAATCAAATAAGATTAATGCAAAGAGAAAAGAAGATGATTAAACACACGTCGTCCCCAATAAGATATATAATTTTATAAAATTAAGGCGATGAATACTTTTATTAAAAAAAATCGATTATCTGTAGACAAGATAACCCAAAAATACAATTAGTGCTGTCATCGAAAACGCACGAGTACATTCATGAACACGGAATACGGCAGAAATTGCTTTTATGATTTAGATATGATAGAATTAGACACTCGACTTTTTTCTCATAGATCGAAATATTTCTCATGAGTATTTTGCGTCACTATGAGTATTATTGCAATATAGAGCATTAATAAATGCGACAACTTTTATCATTGCTAAAAAACAGTAAACTAGTAATTAGATAAGGAAAATGAACAACCAATGAAAAAACGCTCTTTTCTATCATATTGCACCCGATTACATCTAGGTTTAAATCTAAATAGATGCTTTTTATTCGTCTGATACATGATTCAATTAAAAATAAGAATACATTCGAAGAAAAATTTTCCTGATAAAATTATGATCCAATTTGAATGAAAAAGAATGTTTTCCTACTTGTTTTATATTAGAACAACGAAGCAGCTAATTACTTAATAAGAATACCATTAAAAATAATAACAAAAGACACAAAAGTAATTCATAAAAAAAAAAACTGAATTCAAAGGAAATGTAGTTTTCAAAAGAATACAAAAGCAAATCAAATAGCATATTAAAAATAGAAATCAAAGGCCATTCTAGACAGTATATCCTTCTCTTTTTGTGTTACCTTTTATAGTGACAATTGAAATAGCCATATGAGAAATAAGAAAATGTAAGTGAAAGATAGAAAAACATCAGTATTTCCTACGGGAACGATAACATAACTACTTATGTATTAGGTTTCTTTAGAGAAAAAGGATAAGACACACAAGCATATGCGTAAATATTATACGTGCCCTGAAAAATAATAAATTCTCAGGAGTTTATTTTCATTAAGACAAATATATATATATATCAATTCTTACATTCTTATAGCAACTAGTCTGTTTTCTTGATCATAATATAGAAGTTTTCTTTTCTTTAGACTACTCTCTATAAATCGATAAAATGATACTATAGATTTATTTGTTGTAGCAATAATCAACAATAATAGAGCAATACTATCAACATATAGTAGGACTCAATGTAATTATGTCTAGAATATAAGAAAAAAATTCATACTTTCTTCTAAATTTTTTAAAATCATGACAGAACAAAGATAATTACTTCAAAATCAAAAATAACTATAATCTTGACTATGTTTCCATTATCCTCGAAACTGATGAGTTGCCACTTTTCTTTTAAGAAATCTCATATTTTTTTCCTAAGTCAGCCAAAATTGGTTTTGCTACATAGCCATTTGTAGTCATTAACTATTCCTCATCTTCTGCGCTTGTCTATTTTTAATTCTCTTTTTTTTTCTTTTTTGCCATCAAACTTCTATTTTCGTTAAAATCATGCTAGTCACGATGTATTTTACTAGAAAACCATAAACAAAAATTCACAAGAAAGTAAGTATATCAGACATGATTAGCTTCATTATACTAATAACATATTAATTATCGATCGACTGAATATTCTATTCAAAATGAATTCTATGATTCATCAACAAGAAAAACACTTCTTACTTCTTCACTAATAATAAAGCTATGACAAACTATGCTCATGTTCATCTTTCTGTCATTTTGTCCTATCTCAAAACACTTGAATCACTAGAAGTTAAAAAGAGCACATTATGAATAGCTCAAAGTTTGTTTTTAATTTTGCTTATGTAAGAGAATTGTTAAAGTGCATTAGTACTGATGACCTTGTTTTTTTTCAATAAAAATAGAAAAGAAGCGGAACTTTATATCGACTTTAATATCAAAATAACAACGAAACGGATCATTAACTCAATAGAATACGTAAACAACTAAGTAAATATTATATCTTTCTAGCAATACATTTCTAAATTGTATCCGATTTTTTTCTTATTAAATAACTACTTTCTATGAAATACATCTGTAGTAATATAAAGCTTTCTTTCTTTTACATAGTTCTAATAATAGCGTTCCAACAAAGTGAGAGCTGCCATAAAATATTCTTGATATATTTAGTAGCTATTGAGCTCATATGAAACAAGAAAAAGAAAGGTATATAGGAGCATTCGTTCGACATCAACGCAAAAGAATTAAAAAAGAAGGAAACAAAAAACAAAGCCATAAACCTTTGTTTTCATTTATCATAAAGATTTTTTTCTTCTGTCTAATTCTCATGAAATATAAATCATATATTATCATATACTAAATTTAGATTTAAGATACATTCTAACAAGGTCATCACATCAAAGAAATCAATTCGCATAATGTCTCTATAATATGTCAAAAAAAGCAAAACATGAACAATAACAAATCGCTTGAGTATTTTGTTTATTACGAGTAAAAACATCTAGAACTTACCCATCAGTAGTATTATGTATATGCTCCTATAGGCATTTTTTCACAAATCATTCATAAATCAATCGACAAAAAGATGATAGACATTGTCTTTCAACACCAAGTAGTGATAGGACTTCTTATTAGTTGCTTCTGATGATAGGAAAAAGTATCGACCATCAAATCTACAATTCAAGTAATTGTATATTTTTTCCTGATATAATTGTTTTCTCGATTTTCGTCTACTTCTTCTTTTTCTTCTCTCTCTCTATGTGCTCTGTTTATGCGATGAATATATCAAGTAACATCTGTTATGCTAACGTTCGACACTAAGACTTTTTTTTTCTTTGTTCTGTTTTTGTTGTGTACAACAAAAGTGCACCGGAAATAACTCAAAATTACTTGATAAATATTTAATATCGAACAGACAAATTAAAAAAAAACAAAGAAAGATAATTTTTTTCCAAGTGTGAATAAATTTATATAGTAAAAGACCAAGGAAACAGACGTGAATAGTTTAGATGATAAGAGATAAAAAATTGAACTCGTTTGACAATGTGATGACAGATTTGTAGAAAATCAACAAGAACCAAAAAATGATATTTTATGACATATCTATTTATATAAAAATAAACATCATTATAAAACATTTGTTATCTTTTATTCAACTTCTGTCATTGTAATTAACTATTAAATATTATTATATTTTCTTTACTAGGCACTTTTAACGTCAATGCTTGCAAGATTGTTTTATTTTATAGACATTCGCGATTAATGTAAATTGTTAAAGTGATAATTGTATGCATTCATTGTTGGAAATATATTTAGCGTAGTATAATTGAAAAGAAAAAGTCAAAAAGAAACAATTTAAAACCGAACAAAAAAAAAAACAAAATAAAGAAATCTATTTATGTTAAAATGTACTAATTGCTAGAACCATATGTTTTACGAGAAGATGAAAAAGTTATTTAATTATTAAATTTTGTATACATGGTTATTTGTTTTTTTTTTGTTTAGAAAATTGGCATCGATTCATGATTTCGATTGGTTACATTCACACATATTCTTTTTTAATCTGTATGTGAATAATTAGATCATCATTGAATTATTACTACCTAGATTTTGTTATACAGCTTATGTTTTTTTTTTCGCTCCTTCTCATGAATCAAGTTTTCATCTTGTATATCAACAAAAGTACATTAACATTATTGTTTATTTCTGTCTGCAATATATTGGATAATCATAATTTAATAATAAAAAAGAGATAACCTTGAATTCGTATGATAATATTCATTATATCACTGTATTTATTTATTTTCTTTGTTTTTTGTTGAACAGCTAGACTAGAAGCAAAATAACGAGAGAAAAAAAATCAAGAGACATGAAATAATAAGAGAATGCTTTTTTCTAAAGATAAGTTGATTCTCCAATAAATCGTACACCATGTTCGGCAATGGGCACAAATTTATCATATTTATCTATATGAACAAGTAATATACATTTATCAATATGAGATCGTTGTCGGGCATCACGATGTCTTGGTATCCAACGATGAACAACAAGACCAGTCATGCCTACACTTGGCATCCAACCAGACCAAACGTTACGACCACCATTCAATCTCATTTGTTCATTTGGCCAAATAACATCTATTCGACGACCCAAATTGATCGAATCATAAATCTATATAAGACAGATAAGACTAATCCAATAGAAAATTAAGAAGATTCAATACTAAAAAAATGATTATGAGTAAAGATAAGTTTATTTTTTGTTTCGGATGATCTTTTAAGTCTGAAGTATGTAATCAAAAAATAATTACATATTAATTTTAAATAAGAAGATTTTGCTTTCACATTGTAAATAATATACAAAAATATCTAACGACTGATATCAAACACAGGCAAATGGCAAATATTTCAAGTCTTTCTATTATACCCTTTGACAGACACACAATAGGTTATACAATCATTGGATCAAATTTGGCTT